TTCTATATTTTTAAAATTTGTATATAATTTCTCTACAAATTATCACATATACTACAAATCTTCACTTTCCAATCATAATTTCAAGTGATTAGTACCGTAATTTGCATTTTCTCCTATCAAACTGTGAATATGGAATGTGTCTGAACTAATTATATCCAATTTGACTAATATATAACGAATTATGTTTATTTGATTGATTATTAGTATGAATATTACTTGTATGTTTTTCCTTTCGATTACTTGAATTGATTGTTTGTATTAAATACATTATAAGATTTTTAAACGTAAATATATATTTTCTTGTGATAAACAAAACGTTAATAAAATTACTCTTCGAAATCAAATTGATGAAAATGATTAGCAAAATATAAATGAAGAAATGCTTTTTAAATGTAAATTTGCATTGTCTCGAGTCAAGAATAAATCATTCGAAAATCAAGAACAAAGTATTAAATTTGTCCAGGGTTTGGTCGTGCCCCCCTAACTCAAAATGTCTGGGTCCGCCCCTAGCTATTGCATTAGGAATTGGCAGTGTTGATTATGGAACTTCTTATATATTTTTTTTTAAACTTTTGAATGGTTGAAAGAAAGTATCTTGATCGGGGAAAGCAATGCAAAATTTCTTGGACATGGAAAAATTTGCAAAATTTGAGCTTTCTTATGGACAAGCGTTCACTCGTGAGAAACTTTTGTTTGTTGGAAATTACATTTGGGTGTATATATATATATGTATATGTTATTTATCTTGTGTTTACACGACATCTTTCCCTATTTGTCTTTCTTTTGGAATGTCAAGACAAAATTAAGGATCAATTAATAGAAAAAATTAAACATATATGATCCATTCAAGCTAAACAAGAATTAAATGTCAAAGTCTCGACATTTTAATTAAAGCAACAAAATATCAAGTTCATCGTCATCCTAGTGGGTAGAAATTCAGCTGAGCGTCATAAAGTTACAAAAACCCGTGATTGAATATTTATATATCATCCGTATTTTAATTGTAAAAGGATAAAAGAGAGAACATTTTTACTTCTGAATTTCTTCGATGATTTTGAACAATCTCATTGAGTCTTCATCTTCTTTGCCCAAATCAAATAAATAATCATCAATTTACATATATGATTGTGTATTCTTGT